CCAGCCTTCTGGTTAGCAGTCAAGTGCTTTAGCCACTATGCTACCAGAGAACTATTATTGTGAAAGTAGCCTGAAACCCAGCAGAGAACTGTCTTTCCAAATCTTAGAAACAGCCAGTGCTTAAGATCAACTCCTCTCTTGGAATCACTCCATTGGCCCTGACCTGCTGAAACTTTATTAGAGATGGAGGGGCAGGAGACAGAAATTGAGTCTGTGTGCCTTGCAAGGTGCAAAATATGTTCACAAAATGGCTACATGACCCAGGTCTGATAATCCAGTGTCATCACCAAATTGTGACCACAAGTTCTTTCCAATTAGGGCAATAGTGGAATTTCTTGCAGAAATGATTTAGCTCTGTTTGCCTGTGCTCTCTGGGATCATCAGCCCTGCTCTCCACTAGGGAGCCTAGCCTTTGATACTCCCCTTGAATCCTCTTGAGGAGTGGGGAGGTAAGAAGTGAAAGTGAGGGCAGCTCAAGCTCCATGCCCAGGTGCCTCCTTCTTCCTCCAGTGAAGGGTCTACTCCTGGCTTCAGTCTGACACATAGCCCCTCTCTACAACCTTCCTAGATACTACCACCCTGGAAGGAAGTTTCCTGGAGTATTTGTACATCATCTGCTTCAGTAGTTCTATATGCCTGGCTGCACATCAGAACAATCATGTAGGTAGATTTTTGTTTGTTTTTTATTTAACTATCATCCCAGACCAATGAATTAGAATATCTGGGGGGTGATGGCTGAGTGTCTGTATCTATCTCAGCTTCTCTGATGCACAGGGAGGTTTGTGGTCTTCACATCCACATTTTCACCATTGCACACTAGAGCAGTCTCCACATTCCTCTGCCCACTCCTAGTATCTTCCATCACCAATGGGTAGCTCTCCCTCTGCTAAAGAGCCTATGTAGAAACAATATCTTGAGGAGGATACATTAGGAGACAATCAATGTTTGATGAAGGAATGGATTAATAGAAGTATAGAACTATTATTTATTAGTACAATTCAGTAGCGTAGGCTGTTGTGTTATAGATCTTCTACAGAACCAAATGTTATGCATTTTCCAACTGACAAAGCTAGAACACTTTCTATAGGCCTAAAACTGTGTTATGCATTCATAAATTGAAATGAGTCATGG